AAGTTGGGTGAGGAAGCGTTAACAAAGAACTTCTCAGCATTGAATAAGTGGTGGGGGCTGTTGCTAATATCTGGAAAGCCCACAGCAACGTCTCACTAGAATAACGCTTTACAGGCGATGTTAACAAATGAAGCTGTTCCACTAAAAATCGCAGTGATTGTTTATCTTCACTTTCACTGTCTATATCATTGTCCATTGTGTCCGAGCACAGCTTTTGCAAACCATCTGTAAAAACTTGAATTCTTTCTTTAATATCTACGTCTTTAGTTACCACATCATTGTTTTGCGAGAAATAGGAAATTAAACTGTCAAACTGAGACCATGTCGTGAGTAACAGGGGTGAAGGTTTCCCAAACAGCCATGTTAGTGATGAATCAGCGACTCGAACCAGAGTTGAGGATGACAGTGAAAAGACTTCCACGTGCATGTCTTTGAATATCCTGATAGCTACAAGAAGAGAAGGCTTTGATGAAGGGATGTCTTCAATTCTATACAGAGAGCAGTATTCTTCACTGTTGTACTTAAATAACCATCCATCATTGATCTTGGCTTGTAATTTATTTGTCACATCAGAGAAACCGTTTATTTTGTCTCTTTCCATCCACTCACGAAAAGATTGTTCATCTCGGTTTTCCACCTCTTTTAGTCTTTCTTCCGGTTTCTTTCTTTTAACGGGTGTCGGTTCAGACAAATATGAAGGACAATTGGGGAAAATTGTGGGGTAAGCACTGTCGCTCAGTCTTGGTATTTTTCTGTCCACTGTGAGAACAGTTCCATAGAGAGAAGAACAGTTTGAATATAAGGTAAATAGATCTAGATTCTAGATAATTAAGTTCTTAATGATCTACCAATAGGCTATAATAATAGTCTAGTCTAGGTATATATCTAAATTCTAGACCTATCACTGTAATGCTGTTGGGATTGATGTAGCTTATTATTATTATTACATGTATTATTATTATTATTATTATTATTATTATTATTATTATTATTATTATTATCAAACCATTAATATTTTTATTAGTAGATCTAGGCAGTAAATTAGTTCTAGATTCTAGATGATCTGAGTGATGCGTTACACCCGCAGTCGTAAGTAACCACCATCCTTTATCTAGATTTCAAGACCTTTCAAAAAGCTGGCCTGTTGTTACACAGCAATACGGCCTAGTGTATGATGATAGGAGTAATCAGAGAAATCTAGATAGCTCTAGTCTAGACAACAAGATTCTAGTTTAGTGGGGCTGTCGCTCGTTACGGAAGTCCTCCTATTACAGTTACAGAATAACAGATTTGTCCAGAAGTAGTTCCGTAGAGAGTTCCCAAGTCAGCTAAATTTAGCGAGCAAAAAGTAGTTCCGACCCAATCCGTAAATATGTTTTTGCAATCCTTAACGAGCATTTCAAGTTCTCATTTCAATTTCCCGAACAGCTAAAGTTACACTTTAGCACTTTGTGGGGTCGCTCAATTCATTTTTTAAGTCTAGAAACCCCAAAACGCCAGTTTTTGTCTTTTTAGACCAATGCGTTCTATATAGGGAGCCATCCCTTCCATTTATAGCCGTAATATAATCCCGAAATCACCTTCGGCCCCGCTGACCCGATCTGCTTGGATCCAGCCTAACTATGTATTTATACATCTAGATAAGCTTAAACATCTAGGGTTCCAGTAGCTCTCTTGATGTTAGTCAAGGTACATGTATTTGAATTGAACTCCAATTTGAAATACTAAGGTTGAGATCACTCTGTTTCTTTATCTACCTGCTCGAGTGAAAGAATCAACACGCAAGATGCAATCCTCGGTGAAATGTTTTGCACAGACAACAGACTGCTTAGTAGGAATAAAATCTTTCCTTGGAATTTTATGTTGCCAAAGCCTTCTACGATCTGGGTCTGATGGAAATGTAAACACAGATACGCGTTCATTGTTCACACTACTGTCATAATTTGTATTGCAACCGGGAACACAACACTTTCGTGGCATTGTTAACAGCGTTGGAAGAGAATACAATGTAGAAACTAGATTTCAAGATTTCAGAGGATCCTATTTAAAACAAAGAATAGCATTGAAACACAGTCACGAGGTGGTTACGAATCACACTAGATCTAG